CCCCTCGAAAAGACAAGCCTCTGACTGAAAACATGACATTACACAGTTCAGTTAATGCCATTTCAGTCCTCAGCAGTGAAGGGGAGGCAGAGCAGAGAGGACACAGTTGATACCTCAGAGCCTCCCTGAGACACAACTTTTGTGCATTTCACAGCAGATTTTCTGTGCAGGCCAAGAGGAAAGCTGAGCTACACATCCTGGGTTTCAAACCAGCTTACTTTAGTCAGTGATGGTGTTAGTGTGCTCACTCACTCATTTAAGCTTCCCAGAGATAAACTCTGTGCCTTTCAAGTTGTTGGTGCCAGCATTCCCCTTCTAATCCTTCATCCCACCCTGACTCCAGAAGGCTCTGTATCATTCCATATCACTTGCATAGAATAAGCTTTATATTTTTTGCTGCAAATCCAACTTTAACAGCAATTAAAACACAGAGCAAAAGAAGGGACACTTCATTCAGAGAACTCCAGGAAATGAGTTCTCAAAAACCACACAGTGATCTTTTAAGCAGCACAAAATTGGTTCCTAAACAACTTTCCTGTATTTCAAGGGAAGCAGATTGTGGAGTATTCTTATTTATTAATACATTCATTCTCATGCCTGTGCTTTAACACAGTCATGTGGGCTTTAAGCAAATGATAAGCCTCACACAACTTCTTCTTTGAAAGGAGGTGAGGGGGAGAAAGAGAGGAGAGAGGAGTGATTAAAATTAGTCACAAGAAATCCTATAAATATCCCAGTGGATGGAGGAAGCATTCTTTCTTCTATTTAACTTAAAAATAGAGAGCTAAACTTTAAAAGACAAACAGATGGGATAGAGCAGGGATGCAGCAAAGCTTAGAGAAAGTCAAGTGGGCAATTTAGCCATGGATGTGTATTGCAGGGGTGGGAGAGAAGGGGGAGGGAGGAAGAATCTTGATTGTTCAAAAACTTAACTCATGGCTCAGGAAGTCACAGAAGGAGAAAATTAAGGGAAGCCTTAATTTGCAAGAGGGAATCAAATTCGAGGCACAGAGCAGTATGGCACAGAGGAATAATGTGGAAAAAAAGGGAGGCCAGGCCAGAAGATGATTTGTTACAAATGTTCAGCTTATGGCAGCAAGGGCTGGAACAGGATCACAAGACCTGTGTGTGCACCTGCAATGTCAACTGGAAGTCACAGGACTGTGCTGAACAAAACTACTGAGAGACATTCAGTGAGGGTAACACAAACCAGAAACTCCCTGAACATGCTCAGACACATCTGCTGTCCCTATCCAACCTGCTGCAGGGTGAAGGCTTTAATGAAGAGACACTGAAGAGAAAGCAAAGCTTCTGAGGGATGGTGGCTCTTGTTTTCCCTCTCCAACACTCACAGGCTACCTCTGCCCCACTCAACATATGAGGCCAACAAGAGCATGAATCTATTGCCTAAAGCACTCCAGGCTGTTTGGTAAGAACACAATAAAGATGCTAAAAGGATTTATCGACTTGTATCACTTTTCTTATTGCTAAAATCAGAATGCAAACTAGAAATAGGCAGAACAACAGCCACGAAGCACAGATGTTTTGTAGCACTAGGAAAATGCTACATGAGGTAACTGCAGCTGCTGCCCTGGCAGCTTGGGCCAGTGGTACAGCACTGTGGGACCGTGCCAAGGGAAGGGGATGCTCTGGGACAACATATAGGAAAGGACTTGGGATTAAGGACAACGAGGTCACAAAAAAACCACAACGATGTATGTTGGAAACAGCATCAGTAGGACCTGTCCAGCCAGTGCCCTCCACCCACTCAGTGTCACACCAAGCTGTGAGCAAACAAGCAACAAGAAACTTCTTGTTCTGATTTTCTCAGGCAGCCCCGAGTCTGAGTGGCAGCTCTGAGGGTTTCAGGTGCACCAGAAAGAGCAGCCACCAGAGACAAACATCGCAGAAGGCAGGGGATGACAAAGGGATCTTACTTTCATTAGGCAGCTCCTCCCGATCCAGGTCATCCAGAGGGGCTGAGGCAGTGCTCCCACTGTCATCCAGGGTGAGGATAAGGGGAACGTCATCGTCCATGCTCACAGCCATCCCGTCCCTTCGGAGGTTCCCAGAGCTTTAAATAACACTTTTAGCAGTTCCACTTGTGAAACACTTGTGTCAAAACCTCTCCCCAGGCAGTCCTCCATCAGGGCTGTGTGCTGGAGAGGAGGTGTGTGCACCCATCTCTGGAGACCACAATGCCACAAGGGATAGAGTTATCTGCTTTCCAACAGCAGTGCAGGATGTTGGATGTACTTATGCCAAAGCTAAGCTCACAAAGTCAGCTCCAGGCTGCCTATCCCAGCCAGCACATGGCTGGCAGCACAGCAGGGAAGCAGCGGCGCTCCTCGGCAACCTCCTGACCCCTTGGCACCAGGAGCAGCAGGAGTGACGCACCCGGAGCCAGCATGGTGCTAAGTGTCACCGTCACACACGGCTCTGTCCCCCGACGTGCCCGAACGCCTCCACTTCAGGTGGGGAGAGCAAAGAGGGAGCACGAGAGCCTCGCCGGAGTCTGCACACATGAAGTTCCCGCAGGGTTTTTACTGCGTGACGGCACAAGGTCACGGATGTCTCGGAGGTGACGGAAAAGGAAGATCCGC